AAAAAACTACAGAAATCATAATTGAGTTTTAAGTTCTTAGATATATTTTACACCTGATGATGGTTTTATAAAAACCACCTATACGTGTAAAAGATGTTTCAAAATGTAAATCGATCAATCGATATGGAACATCAATGATATTTTATTATCTTAATTATAAGAAATTTTAAATATTGTGATAAGACGGATTAAAATAAATAATTGATAGTAAGACTTGTATTTTTATAACATGTATTGTATTATTATGACTTATTCTACATCCTATTGTCATCTAACTTATGGATCCATGGAATGTAATAAAGATATATATATGTATGTATGTAATACTTCTGTGCCAGGTGTAAGACTTATTTTTCTATAAATCATAAACAATAAAATCTCTTGCTGAATGGGAGAACAAATAAAGTAAATGTAAACTTTTTACTTAAAAAATTATCCTCCCTTCCTTCCACACATCTGTTTGGGCATCTTTCTAGGAGAAAAGTTGGTCAAAATTCAACATATTTCTATTTTTCCTTGAGGGACAAAGACAAGCCTATGAAGACCAGTCATATTAAGATCTAATAACTTAAAAAATAACTCATACTGTTTTATGTTCCAGGTTTAAATAATGGAGAGGATATTAAGTCAACATTCTTAATATCCTTGCCAGCAAAAAAGTGGCACTGGAGGGCCCGGACTAGTGCACTGTACATATCACAAACAATACCAAGAAAACATAATTTCAAGTGAGTTCTTAAATATATGTTTACATCTTGTAATGTTTTCTTCCTTTTCTTAAATTACTTATTTTTATACAGGACTGTGTTTGCCAGCTGTGTACTGAATCTTGCTGAGCTGGTTGCATTACGTCCAGATCTGTCAAATACCAGGAAGATTGTCTACTTTCATGAAAATCAACTGGTATATCCTATTCGAAAGGAGAAGGAACGAGACTTTCAATATGGGTACAATCAAATCCTAACCTGGTGAGAACAGAGCAATTTTTTTGCCCTTAGTATGATCTTTTGACCTTCCTAGCCTCTGCCCATTTGACAAAAAATAAGAAATCCACTCTTGAGTTGTAGACTCTGAAACATGAGAGGTGTGAAGGGGTTGTGGTTTTCCCCACATTATGGTAATAAAACATACCATTATAAGAGGTTTGTATTCTTATTTTCAGTGACTTTATAATTCACCTGTATCATTCAACATCATTTTACTGGCCATTTGTAGTACACTGAAAGTATAAAGATTCTGATAGAACACATAGTTAATTTTGTGCACCTCTACATGCAGCATATTTGTACATGGCATTCTATGAAAGTACCTTTTATAATGTGCAACAGTTATGAGAACATTTGTGCACTGAGTTTATCTTTTATTCTCTTATGCATACCAGAAATAGGTTACATGTTGCACACATACAATTTTATTTTTTCTAGACTATTGGCTTTGATTCTACCAAGGATTGGACTGACAGATGAAAAGTCTTGAGATATCTTTTATGCCCCACTTTCCTTCATCTTGCCCACACTTTTAAGAAAGGTTACATATTTTCTAAGATATCACTGCATTACAGCCCAGTCTTACATTAAATGTTCATATGAAATTAGCAGGTTCAGTAGTATTAATGAGCTGAAGTTAGAGGTACCCCTGATAATAATATAAGAGTACATTTAAGACTGTAGTGTGCATAGTTTTTATTTCATTTGCAATTACATTCAATTGACTGTAATTTAATTTTCAGTCTTGTGGCTGATGTTATATTGTTCAATTCTAAGTACAATCAAGATTCATTCTTGGACTCCATAAGCAAATTCATGAAGCTGCAACCAGATTTTCATCCCAAGGACCTGAAACAGCAGATTGCTCCAAAATGTAGAGTTCTGTACTTTCCTATAAAGTTCTCTTCATTGGAAACTTCAGTAGATACAAACAACAGAGTGCTTCACTTAGTGTGGCCACATAGGTGGTAAGTGGTAATAAAGTTACAAAGTAAGATCTGGCAAATATCTGCTTAAAGGACAGTCAAGTACATTTTCAGTATTATTAAACATTTTTTTTTGTCAATGCTTCACAGAGTTTGATCAGTTAAATATAGCTTAATAACTATGACCATGAACATACCAAAATTACAAGACACGATGTTACTCATCTGCTAATTCCTTATCTAAGAATCGTACACTGGTCAACTGGATCCTCCAAGTTCAGTGAAGCACTTGCTGTCATGAACTTGTGTACCTGACAGCTAAATATGATGAGCATCCTCCTCATATCATTCCTCTATGGCGTGAACTGGTGAAATGTCTGTTTGACATTGTGGCCAAACAGTTAGCACTCCTGCTTTGTATTTGGCTTGTCCCGTGCTCAGATTTTGGCTCAGAGACTGGCTATCCTAGCTGAGATTCTCTGCAGTTTCCTCCAACCTCTCCTCAAGTTAATAATCATCCTATTAGTAAAAATGGTATATCTCCACCAATAACTATGCCTCTTTCACCCTCCATGAATGTAGACAGTTACTTTGCTAGATGCACATGCTCAGAATTTAAGAACAAAAACCAGCTATGTTCTAGTATTAAGTCAATTTTAAAGGTTCCTTATGATGGTATTACAATTAGTATTACTGGATTTGTGGATTTTCTCCATTATCCAGTATTCTTAAGAACATGGCATACAGCAGAATACAGTGTTTATTTTAGGAATACCAAAATACAAATTCCAGAAATCCAGTAATACTAAATAATCTTAAGACATTAAATTGGAAATCCAACTTCCAAAGATATATTTAGATGTTTAAAAAACATAAAAAATCACCAAGATGCCATACTGGCTGAACTACACCTCTCATGGTAAGGTGAAGGATCAGCAATTCACAATCTCAGCACAGAAGTTTAAATCCAGGAATTTCGACATGAAACAAGGGCAAGACATAAATTCTTCTTTTACTGAACTAGTAATTTCTCTTCATCTGGCAGGGAGCATGATAAAGATCCTGAAACATTCTTTCGAGTGTTGCTGATGCTGATGGATGCTGGACTTAACTTCCATGTGTCAGTGCTTGGAGAATCATTTTCTGAAGTTCCACCAGTATTTGCTGAAGCAAGAACTCGTCTGGGCACTCGGGTTGTTGACTGGGGTCACCAGAAAACAAAGGATGTATATTATGAGATACTTAGACATGCTCATATTGCTATATCCACGGCTAAACATGAGTTTTATGGGGTTGCAATGTGAGTCACCTTAAGTTAAAAAACTATACATATGGCAAGTACATATTAATATTTTGTACAAAGATAGATATACTAAATATACAAAGTGAGTTTCAAAACTACAATCATCACTGGCTCCACATTATCAAACCATCATCTCTTAGTGGAGTCAAATCTGTAATGAAATCATAACTGATCATGTATTTATCATAATTCAAGGATCCAATTTAGGAAACAGAAAAGCACATATGTTAAGGTGTTATGTCAGACATCATTAAATCAATATGTGACAAAACACTTAAGCGGTGACCACAAGCAAATGAAGCAATAGGAAGAGTTGTAAGCATGCCTGGGCTTGTAGTAACATGTTATAACACATTCACTGCAGCTATATCCCTTGCAATGCGATTTATCTACAACAGAAATTCAATCTCAGTTATCTCTAATTAGTCATCTTAGTTCATCTTTAAATTGTATGGCTTCATCTAAACTTAATATCACATGCAGTTTTTCATAATTCAGATATTAAATTTTAAAGGGAAGGTCCAACATGCTCTACATGATTTTAAAGTATCAATATTAAATATCATCAAAATCTATTAATATATAAATACCTTCATGCATTAAGAGTCAAGTCATTTTAAAGTAATAATACAGACTGTTCAGTGTGAATCAAAAGTAAGTTTCATCAATGAAGTGAGATTTCAGGTTCTCATAGCAATGAGTATGCAGGTTGTTGTGTTGTGGGTTGTAGTGCCGTGTAGTCTAGCAGGTTTTCCAAAGTACACATCAGTACAATCCATAACACAGCAATTGATAAACACCAGCACTGTTATTGATGAAACAAATCTGTACACTTGGAGAAGTATTTTAATGCAAAAATAATGTGATGGAACAAATCTTTCACTTCTCTTATAATTTTAATGTACTTTAAATATATACTAGCAGAAACTATACAAAGAAAAAACATAAAGATGAATAACAATTACCAGTGTAAGTTATACAAGCCTCACTGTACAGATGGTAAGCATTTAAATGAAAATGAAAGTTCTTCCCTGAACATTTTGTTGTGGTTACCTTCCTTGAGTAATCATTTTAAATGTATTTTACAGGTTGGAAGCAACATATTATGGATGCTTTCCCCTGTGTCCATATACCTTGGTATATCCAGAGCTCTACCCAAATGAATGCCTGTACAAAAGTGAAGAACAGCTCTTAAAAATGCTTGAGGACTTCTGTAAGAAACCAAGTTTGGCAAGACACATGAGACGTAATCTTAAAATGGATTTCAAACTTTTCAGTGCTGACTGTCTAATCAGTGAATATAAGCATGTTTTATCACCACAGTGACACAGCAAATACACAAAATACAACACCAGTATACTTCTTAGTTCACTATAAAAACAGAAGATACATGCTATACAATCTGAGCTACTGACAGTGTTATTAAATAAACCACAAGTAAATAAAAAACCGTATACCTCATAATACATCATCCATGCTACCCTGCCCTTTATCATCAGTGGCTATCCATGAACTGAATGTCTGATAGAAGAAGAAGAGTTTTTGGCAGTGGGCGTGGCTGAGGTGAAAGTACAGTCATGCTTTGTCGTTCCATATCCACATTTGTACTGGAAAAATAATGCATAATAAACATCTATAATTATCCAGTAATAATTTCGTAAGTGTATATATTACAACAAGTTACAAACTGCACGCATGCATAACAATTCTGGTGTGTTGGCCAGAATTTAACCCTTGACATTTTAAAATTATGCCAGGCTGTTAGAATTGTCTGAGTTAATTACCTTTGTATTTGTATGGGGTCTGGTTGGGTAATGACATCATGGAGGATTCCTCAACCTAAATAACCATGGTTGGGGGGGGGGGGGGGGG